ACTGAACAAGAAATTATGTCTGTTTATAGAATTAAAGAGAAAGTATTATCACATAAAATGAAGCAACTTAAACAACTTACATTGTAAGAAATGTTTAATAAAGTAAACAAATAAATATTCAGCTTTTTTTTTTTTTTTTTTTTTTTTTTTTTTTTGTAAATTTGATACCCTTTAGATCATAATTGTTCTTTATTTCATAAATTACGGTTTCATATTTTTAATTTTAGAATTTCTACATGCCATCTTACGAGATTTAAACTGATAATCTATAATCCGGAATCGCCGAAGTCCCGACGAGTCCAGATTAACGACTTTTGACTGTATAACTAAAATGTTATGACTAGCCCATTCTGTGGATATGGAAACCAACTGCCAAACGATTTTATGAAATGTCTGTTCCAAAACCCAGTATGTGACAGAATTCATTGTATAGTTTTGGAAATGAATCTGGTGGTTTTTTGTATTCATTTAGAAAGCTGATTTATGCAGAGCATCTTAACTGATCGGGCATATCTCAACATATTGTTACGAATTTGCTATTTAAAAAGCTAATGTTAGTTCAATTATAAATTAAATGGTTTTATTTCTCGCGCAGTGCAGCGCGTGACGAATATTAAAAGAAAGCTAAGCCGGAAAAATTAAAAATACAAGAGCGCGTGCGTTAAATAAATAAATATCTCTTTTTGATTTCGAGAAAGTACTGGAAAATTCTAGCGCGTGATTTTAAAATCTTATAAAAGGAGGAAAACATCTCAGTTTGTAGTAGTTGCTTGCTTAGTTTGTTGTTGTTTAGAAAACTGCTCTTGTTGATTGTAGCGAATTCGCGGATTAGCGTTCTTTAGCTGTTTTGAATTACGTTCTATTGTATATTTGAGTAGTTAAAAGATAACTACTGTGAGATATTGTAATACTGCATGATAATTTGAGAAAATTTAAGCATTTTTGTTGTGATAATAATAAATTTTTGTTCATTTTTCATCGGACTTGTGCATTCATTTCATAACGAACCCATACGCACGCAACAATGTTTGGTATCAGAAGTGGGATTTGAATGCCAATAACAAGAGGGATGGAAGAACAATTGAGACAGCTCATTACTGCTTTTGCTGCTTTCCAAGAAAAGATGGAAGCTGGCCAAACATCTTTTAAAGAAGAAATTAAAGAGAAAATGGATGCTGGTCAAAGGTCCGTTAAAGAAGAAATGAAATTGGGCCAGGAATCCCTCAAAGGAGAAATGAAATTGGGCCAGGAATCCGTTAAGGAAGAGATGGAATCTCTTAAAAATGAGATGAAAGCAGGTCAGGACGAAATGAAAAGAGAAATTACCTGCATAATAGAAAATAATTTGAGGCTATGGAAGGCAGAATAGACGCGGTTGAAACTAAAGTTGGACATATAGAAGAGAGAGTTTCTGCCGTCGAACAACAAATTGATGATAGGGTTTCTGCTGCCGTCGCCAAAGAAGTTGACAGCCTAAAGAAGTGCATAGCGACGGTAGGAAACAATTCTGAAGGTTTCAAATTTTTATCGATGCCTGCTGAAACTATCTACATATGATGGGAAGACCTCCTGGCAGGTGTATAGGACACAATTTTCTATCGTTGCGGATGCGAATGGGTGGGATTCCCAAGATAAGGCCTGTCATCTCGCCGCTTCTCTGAGAGCAGACGCAGCGGATATCCTGCAGACGCTTCCCGAAAATCAAAGGCTAGATTTCGAAGCTCTATCCGGCGCTTTGGAGCTGCGCTTTGGCGAGAAATGTTTAAAAGACTACAGCAGGCTCCAATTAAAATCTCGTCAACAGAAGCCTACCGAAACACTTCAGGAGCTCGCCACGGATGTTGAAAGGCTGTCCCACCTCGCATTTACGGAGTGCCCGAGAGAAACGAGAGAAATTCTGTCGCTGCAATATCTCATCGATGGCATCCGAGATACTGAAATACAGAAGCTCTTCGAATGGCAGATGTAAAGGACATAAAAAGTGCTCTGTTGTACGCCATGAAGTTCGAGGCAGCCCAGCAAGCAACTAGTAGAGATCGCTACCCAGTTAGAGCTGTGCGAGTCCATGAGCCAGTGGATCAACTGATGGCTCGTTTAGATGATTTAGCCAGACAAGTCGAAGATTTGATATGGAGTAGGAGCGAGAAGAAAGTGGCTCTAAGGTGTTGGAGATGTGGTAGTGAAGGTCACCTAAGACGGAATTGCAGAACACCCCAGGGTACGGAATATAAAGCAGATGATTTTACCAGACAAGTCAGTGGCTTGAGACGGAACATTGAAGTGAAAAGAAACTAATTCCTAAAGTGCTGGAACTGCGGAGTTGAAGGCCACATACGAAGGAAACTGCAGAACACCCCAGAGCATGTAAAATAAAAGAGGCGGAAAAGACAATAAGAGGGGACGAAACAATTGACAAGAAAACAAAGTCTGGAACTGTGGAACAGCACGTACGAAAGAATCGTAGAATACAGGGTTCGGCAAATAAGATCATTTCTGAGCAACCACACAAGAAACAAATTAGTGGCCATATCGAGGAACGGAGGTTGCCAGATAATGAAAAACCTTGTTTTAAAGCGCTTAAAATTTATACAGTGAGTGGCAACAATAACGGACTGTCCATCAATGGGAATATCGATGGAGTTCCTTGCAGTATGATCATTGACACAGGATCTAATGTTACCATCATTAGGAAAGATTTAGCTGAACAGTTTAAAGATAAACTTATTTGGACGCCATCCTGTGTTACCCTTCAGACTGCGTCTGGTGACAAGATCGACATAACTGGGAAGTTAAACGTAAACATCACGTTTGGAAGTGCCGCCTACCATCACACGGCATATGTGGCGGATATTACAGATCCATGCATACTCGGATTGGACTTTTTAAGGAAATACAATTTTTCCTTAGACTTGAAAAACAACAAACTGCTTTCAGGATCTAAAGACATGACTATCCATCCTAAGAAGGGATCCTCACCTGGAAATGCCGACGCTTTGTCCGAAAGAACCAGCTCGAGAAACAGCCGAAATCATGCTAGGGTCGAAAAGAAACACCAGATTACCAGCTATTCTCCATCTCAGATGCTCTTCGGTCGAGACCTTCGTCCTGCCTTGTGACCGCCTGTTTCAATCGCCGCACGGATGCGCCTTCATCGCCTGAGGAACACATCCAAGATGTCAAGGCCCGTTTTGAAGTGATGCACCGTTCCGCACGAAAGCGAGTGAACTTGGCGACGGAGAAAGGAGAAAGTGAAGACCAGATACAACACGAGAGCTGCTGGACATAGATCCAACGAAGGAGACAAGGTGTGGTTGTGGAACCCGATTCGACGAAAAGGAGTCAGGCCTGATTTACAGTCACCTTGGGATGGTTCGCACACAATCCTAAACAGGCTGAATGACGTCGTGGTTCGGATTCATAAGTCTTCGAACTCTAAACCTAAAGTCGTTCATTACGACAGGTTAGCTCATTACTATGGCCATAGTACGTAATGTAAATAATTGTAAATAGTATAAGACCATGGTCGATTTTGTTTTTAAATGTGTATTTGATTTGATTTGTATTTAGTATTTGATTTGCATTTAGTGTTTGATTTGTATTTGATAGCATTTGATTTGTTTTATTTATTGCATTTATTGTTCATGTTGTTTAATATTGTAATGTAATGCTTATTAATGCATTTATGCCACAGTTGTAAGTTTAGCTTCCTGTCCAGGGATTGTACTGCCCGGGACGTGCAGTCCTTGGGAAGGGGGCAGTGTTACGAATTTGCTATTTAAAAAGCTAATGTTAGTTCAATTATAAATTAAATGGTTTTATTTCTCGCGCAGTGCAGCGCGTGACGAATATTAAAAGAAAGCTAAGCCGGAAAAATTAAAAATACAAGAGCGCGTGCGTTAAATAAATAAATATCTCTTTTTGATTTCGAGAAAGTACTGGAAAATTCTAGCGCGTGATTTTAAAATCTTATAAAAGGAGGAAAACATCTCAGTTCGTAGTTGCTTGCTTAGTTTGTTGTTGTTTAGAAAACTGCTCTTGTTGATTGTAGCGAATTCGCGGATTAGCGTTCTTTAGCTGTTTTGAATTACGTTCTATTGGATATTTGAGTAGTTAAAAGATAACTACTGTGAGATATTGTAATACTGCATAATTTGAGAAAATTTAAGCATTTTTGTTGTGATAATAATAAATTTTTGTTCATTTTTCATCGGACTTGTGCATTCATTTCATAACGAACCCGTACGCACGCAACAATATGTTCAAGTTTGAGTTCAAATATAAGACTCCATACAGGACACATCATTAGACTTGTCATTTTTAACAATTTAGCTTTGTAATATTTCTGCATTTCTCAAAATCCACTTTCTCAGAAATGACTTCATCTTATGCCTAGTAGGCAGTGATCGTGGGTTTTTTTTTTTCCCCCAACCCAACAGTTAAAATGCTTGCCTATGAGAGTGGCTGTTAACTATCTTTGTCTTTATTAAGTAAATGTCTTTATTTATATACTAATGGTGTATGAATTTAATATGTATAATGTATTATTCATCATACCTGTGTGTCTGCGTAGCAATTGCTCATATTAATGAAACTTGATAACTGAAAAACTGTTTATAAAAAAATTCAAATTCTGTAGGTCAAAGAAATTTTTTAAGAATTCAAAGGGGGGGGGGATTTTCTAAATATGATTTTAGCAGTTTTCATTCTTATGTTTTGTCTTCTTTGTTACAGATTTGATATTTTTAAATATTTAAATTTAAATATGATCTTTAATTTAACTATTTATATTGTACAGAAATTAAAATTTGGATTGTGTGCGGATACTGCTGATAATACAACGTTAAATATAAATGTTAGTGTCTTTGTAGTTAATTTGTGCTGTAAAATTTGCTAAAATAATTAAATGCACTTACAGTATGGCTTTGTACATTTAACTTGTCACAATTGTCATTTTCAGTTGACATTTTTTTTTCATATACTTAATTAATTTTGATTTTCAGGTTTAAGATGACAGTCGGTGAGATCAACAATCAAATAAACATATTGTTTACAAATACTGAAAATCTGGTGCAAAGCATAATAGGAAAAAAATTGTATGGTGATGTAAAGTCTTTTGCAGCATGTCATCCTTTCATATTCACTGCAATATTTGCTGTTGGCATATTTTCATCAGTCCCATTACTGTTCTTTTTGGGTTTTGTAGTAATCACGCTGTTCATTGCTTTCATATGCTTCTTATGTATTGAAGGTATGCTTAATTTTACTTTTTTTATTTTATTTTGTAAGTTTCCTGAGATATATTATTTTAATTTTTGCTGCTTTTTTTACCACTAACTATTTTTTTTATTATGTCTAGTAGGAAGAAAAATGTTTGTTCAGAATACATTAAATTATGAAAGTACTGTATTGAAATTAAATTATGAAAGTACTGTATTGAAAAAGTTATAACATCATTATGAACATTTTATTCATCAAAATGCTCTAAAATGAAAAGTAGTTATTAATTTATATGATGAAAATTTGTAAGATATCCCAAGCTCTAAAAGAAACTTTCTAATTGGGAAAGCAGTAAATAATGGTATGATAAATATATATATCACATAAAGTTAAAAACATCTATATATAGTGTAGTTTTTATACTAGTCAGGCAAGGGAAGATGGCAAACATACTTGGAAGTTCAAATATGTTGTTTGTCTGAGTCAGTTTGAATTTAGATCAGTTTCAGGTAAGGGAATTGAGTGCTAGAGTAGAAAAGGGTGCTGTTAGGTTTGACACCAAACACCAATGCTGCTATTAGTTTTCTGGTAACCCAGAATCTACTCTTTGCTTGGTGTTATGGCAGCCATTTCATTGTTATATGCCAACGCTTTTAAGTTAATTTGTTTGGAACTTTTTAGCTTAGTGAATGAAGGCTACATGTATCACGTGCTTTAAATTATTGGAATTTTAATTGTCATTAATTGACCTTTCGTTTTTGTTTGTTGACTGATTCTGATTAATTGGCGTCTCATCACTTCCACAAAGAAGTATGTCTGTCAAAATAAATACTCTTTTTTTGGGTAGAGTAGACTTTAAGATACCCCTTGTATTATGGCGAAGTTGTTGTTTGATTTATCGCCAAGTTGTTGTTTAATTTATGGTATCCTGAGTAGTTGAATGTTATGGAAACCCTATTGTGACGTAATCGGGTGCATGATTCTGGGAAATTTTGAATCATGGGATGTTTTGTAAGCGTTTTTGTGGTGTGTGTTAAAACCGTTTAGATGGATTTGAATGGGTTTAAAGGAAGAAAGGTTTAGATGGTCACTATGTGAAGCGTTCGATCAGAGAGAGTACCTGGTTTGAAAAAAGTCATTTGAGTATGATTGATATTTTGATTTTTACGTGGCTCTGGGTGTACGAAGAGAACTCGAAAATCACGGTAAGTGAATATTTGCTTTTGGTTGTGCTTAAATGTATAACATGTTTTTCCTTTTTTATGTTATTTTATTGTTCGGTTTAAAATGTAGTTTATTGAGATTATGTATTTTTTGTTTGCCTATATTGTATATTGTAGAATTTGGTGCTACTTTGACTTTTTAACTGAAAATATATCGATGTGTACATGGACAAAGTAAAGGAAGTGCGTAATGCAAGTTTGTGCAATTCTGGAAATTTTTTTTTAAGTGAAAATAGGTCGACTTGTACATGGATAAAAATAAAAGAGTGCGCAATGCCATTTTTGTGCAATTCGGAGATTTTTTTAAGTGAAAATAGGTCGACGTGTACTTGGATAAAGTCAAAGAAGTGCGCAATGCCATTTTTGTGCAATTCAAGGATTTTTTTTTAAGTGAAAATAAGTCGATGTGTAGATGGATACCGAGTTTGTGCAATTGTTTGTCTTGTTATTTTGGCTTTGTGTAATGGCGATTTTTGGGCCAAAAATCGCCGCTTCGCAAGCCAAAATATAACGAGTCAAAGAATTGCACAAAATCTGTATCCATGTACCACCAAAAATCGCCAAGTTTTCGCCAAGGGGTACCCTAAACTATACTTTTACCCTTTTTTTTTTAATAATTTAAAGTGAAAGGGTAAGAAATTTATAACTGATTGGTGTATGAATGAAGGTTCAATTAATTCTCATTATGAATGTTAAGCTTGTACAAAAAATATGTATCTGGTCGAGCTTAAGAATTGATCAGACTGCAATGAGTGAGTTTGTTGTGAAAAAGGAAACTGGCACTTTTACCAACAAGATTGAAATCATGTGCAGCCACATTAAGTGCGAGCTTTGTAAGCAGGATCTTCAGCAGTCATCAAATGACAATTTATATCCCTACTTTGCAAAGTTTTCATGGTCTCGCCAATACCATGATCAGGAGAAGGAGGATTAATTCCGGGATTATACGATAAGCATTATGTATATGCAGCAGTCATTCAGCAATGATGATGAGACAAAGTACCATATTTGACGGCATATAAGACGCACTTTTTTTCCTAAATTTAGTCTCAAAAAACTTACCTGCGTCTTATACAGGAAGGACACAGGTTAACTTTCAATACTGAATGCTATTTTTAGCCTGGATAAAGGTCTAGACACACATAACTTTTTCAACATCTGCCATAATTATTTTGCGCATGCGTAAATATCTGTCGCCAAAAAGCCCCAAAGCTCGAAGCTGATGTCGAAGTTCGAACAGGTTCGACGGTCACATTACGTCTATGGAGCCTTTCCTTCTTTACTTAGACTTTCTTTGACTCAGCCGACACACGTGTTGATATCGGTGCTACTCTGTATAAACTTGTCGATATCGGTGCTTAAAGCTATTTGTTTAAAAAAAATATCCTGGAAAATATGACTACAGGAAACAAGAGGTTAAGCTACACAATTCAGTATAAACTAGTAGTGTTAAACTACGCCAAAGTGCATGGAAACAGAGCAGCAGCAAGGTATTTTGGTCCACCACCTACCGAAAAAAATTATACGTACTTGGCGACTGCAGGAAGATCAACTGAAAAACTGCTAAAAAACAAAAGCATAACCTTCGATGCCCAGCTCCATCTTGGCCTGAACTTGAAAATGCTGTAAATATGTGGGTGATAGATAACAGGAAATCTGGGATATGTGTTAACCAAAATGATAATCAGTGAGGCCAAAGGATTTGCAGAAAAACATGGGAATAGAACATTTCAGGGTCTGAGGGCTGGTGCTACATGTTCATGAAAAGGCTAGGCTTATCAATGCGCACCAAAACAACTATTGCACAGAAAATGCCAGCAGATTATGAAGAAAAAATACTCGCATTTTAGAGGTTTGTTATAAATGCACGCAAGAAAACTTCTTTTGAGCTCGGTCAAATAGGAAATATGGATGAAAGAGAAAGAAACCGCATTTTAAGTTATTGTGGTACCGCCTGTAGCACGGACTATTGAAACTTTTTTCCCTTGTGTGTGGCCTTCTAAATAAGGGTGTGTCTTATATGCCGTCAAATACGGTATACACGAGGTGAGTACTTTTGTTGTTTTTTATAACATACATTTTCGGCATTGTTTTAGGTTTAGATCTTGGAAACATTGCTTTTGGTGCCATTCTTGGCATTCTAAAAATTTGTAAAATATATCAAAGAACATTCTATTGTAAACTTTTACTGGAGACTAAACTGTAGGTGAGAGAAGATGATAGTTTCAATATTTTATTTTCATTTGAAGCCATCTGGCCAGATAGGTTACTGATGTGTATAGCTGCTGCCTGCTTGTTCGAGTCAAAAGCTTAAGGTTTGGCATCTGCTGTAGCTAGTGTTGAAAGTTGGAAACATGTTAGAATGCTTGATTGCTTATCATTTTTATAGGTATTCAAAACTTCTGCAACTTCTTAGACCTATGTTATGAAATCTGGTGTTTTAGAGGTTTATGCTACAAAATAATAAGTGCTATTTTCACATTTTACTCTTTTTTATTGTTGTCTGTTTTGTAAAATTAAAAGTCATTGTTGGAATCCTCCTTTTTTTTCCTCTTTTTAATGAAAATGAGCTCTAATGCTAATTTTTCATAAAAACAAAATGCCTTAAAGCAGATTTTTTATAGAAAGGTTGAGTCTTGTGTTTCATTCTTTTAAGAAATGTTTAAGAAATTTAAATAATGTAATATCCTTTTCAAAACTGTTATAAATTTTTACTTTAGTGTGCAGTTCAATAACTTTATACCATAGAATTTGGTTGTTTATAGTATTTTGATATAAAGTTTGTATAATATCTGCTTCCCCAAAGTTCTTGCTTACTTGTACTATAGTTAAATCTCCATGCTCTTTATTATAGAAGAAACTCTGCCGTCAGTGATAATTTTCATTAAAAAAGATTTATATCAGACTACATTCCAAATATGGTATTTCAGGATGGATTTTAGTTGAGCTGAGGAGGAGTCAGTATAGCATTTATCAAAAATGTAATTATTATTATAACAAAGATTTAAATATGGTCACAGCATCACTTGTAACTAATAACAACTGAAGATGAAAATCTAGAAATATTGTACTAATTTGAGAAAGGTGGAATTCCTTCTGTGCTACAATTTCAAAATGTTTACTATGATGTTATGTAAAAGAAGTGTATGGTAAGGGAAGCAAATTTCAAGCAGGAGATGAGGTAGTTCATCGCATCAACATGAAATGGGTGTGAACTTGGGCAAAGAAAAATTAATCACCTGGACGAAACATGAAACAATATGTGTAAAGGATATTTTGTTTTCAAAGGGATTGTAACATCACTGAACTTTCAGATATACGGAAATAATTAGACAGGTTGTCTGAATGGGTCTTTCTCTCTCAGCATTTTACAGACAAAAGCATCATTTTCTTAATCTTGCATGATGAGTAACAGATATACCACCAAAGGGGGTTGTCTTTAATGAGTCTTTCCTGATCACTTTCACTGCCCCCTTCTACCCCTTCCCCAGTGGATGGTGAGGTTTATTCTCAAGAAAACAGGAAGTTCTGTAATAACACATGTATGTATTTTGACAGAATTCAAATTGTGTGTGCAGTTGTGTCTGGGCTTTTATATCATCTCACTGGCAAACTCTTTAAAACATACCTGCAGCAGGATACTGTTTAGTAACATGGCTCAACCAATTTACTGGATGTTTCCCAGGCTGAGCTGAAAAGTTTTTCTCCTTTACTCTTATCCCAATTCGTATATAGTCTTATATAATTAATTTTCTGGTGATTACATTATTGAGTGATCTGGTGAACATGGCAAAGCCAAAATAAATGGCTAGAAAATTTGCTTCTAAGGCAGCTCTCTTCTACATAGTTAGAATCTAAAATTTGTCTAAACATTGTCAAAACATCATCGGAGCAGTAGCTACTTAACTTTCCACAAGGGTCAGTTTTGAATTTTATACAAAATATGGTATGCATTCAAGGGAACTAAAACTTTCCTAGCAACTTGATAATAATTTCAGTATCAAACATTTTCAGTTCCCTTCCTGTTGTATGTAAAATCTTTTTATTTTGTTGCAGGAACTTTTTCCTCCCCTTTTATTTGCTTTTAATATTTCCTATTGTAAACCCTTTTCAGTTAGCGACTTATTATTTATTAAGAACTGTTTATGCTGTTACTGTTAGTAGAGGTTTGCCTTATGAATCATTGACAAAGCAGTTAAAGAATTTCCTGCTTATGGTGATAAATCATATTCTATAAAACATTCTGAACAGCCATTAGTGTTGCTTGTAATATTTTGCCTTTCATGTCCTTTCTTCTCCTAATAAAGCTTTGTTTTGTTCCTAAACATCTTATTTTTAATTCAAATTTTGAGGAAATTTATATTATTCGTGTGTAAGGATTACCTTAGATAGGTCTTAACTTAAATATGAAAACTTAAATTCAGAAGAAGTTATTAAATGTCTTTGCTTTCATTGTAGATCTTTTCAATATGCATGTAAGTTTTCTTAAGTCTTCTTTCATGTAAGTCTTTAAAATTATTCAAAAAATACCTTCAATTGACGAATTAGATGTCTTTCAAATCAAACATCTAAATTTTAAAGAATGATTGAAATTTGTCTTTATCAATGAACAGTTTTAAAATACTTATTACTTCCCTCATTTCATATCAAACTTATGTCTGTAACTGGCGTTTGTTAACAATTCTATCTTTTAAGTCTTTTTTTTTTTTTTTCTCTTGAAGTGTATCTGAACCTTTATCATTAAAATTGCAGCCAATGTTTCACAATTATACACATTGTTTCATTTTACAGGGTGACGCTTGAAATGTCATACCATGTTTCATTTTACATGGTGATGCTTGAAATGTCATACCATGTTTCATTTTACAGGGTGACGCTTGAAATGTCATACCATTCAGTCTCTTAATAAAAATTTTAATACTATATATTGAGAGTTGCAGTACAAAGTCTGAATGTGTATAATCAATAGTTTGGCTGTGCAGCCATCTTTTCCTTGGTAGCATCTCAAACCAAAATATTCTATATTTGTTGCTACTAGAAAAATTATAGCTAGCTAGAAATATTATAGCCTCTATTTATAGCTAGCTAGAAATATTGTTGATTTTATAGCTACTGAATAATTTATATCCTTGGTGCCAATTTAGTGAATCATTATTTGTTATTTTTTGTTTTCATCATTGCATAACTTTCAACACATGACAGCTTGAGAAATGACTCAAGCAGTGATAACTAAGTTTAAAAAAAAAAAAACTAGGGTACTATTCGGTTTCGAGGGCCGTAAAATAATCACCAAATTATTGTTTATGCCAATGCTGCCAAAAATAATTGCGGCAAGAAAGGAAGTATAATAGTAAATAACTATCTAAGATTGATGTTTTAATTTAGATGAAAGGTTAATTTCATATAATACTTTATTATTATTACAATTTATATGAAAAAGGCTAAATATTACTAAATGGAAGCATAAGAGTAAATAACTATTTCAGATCATTATTATAATTTATATAAAAATTGCTAAACATAACTGAATGGATGCCCACATCGCTATTTCGCTACCGATTTATCGCTAAAGCATAATTTCATCTCGTTGGTTGTTCAAACGTAATTTTCTATAACGAATGATGCCTTTTCTTTGAAAATATTCTCGGTAAAGTGCAGAATCGCTCTTATTTGTTTGCCGCTTTTTACAAGGGTAAAAACAATTGGATTTATGTCAATTTTCTTTTACTTGATAAGTGAAAATAAGTCAATGTGCAATTAGATAAAGTCAAGGGTGTGTGCAGTGCCATTTTTGTGCAATTCTGGATTTTTTTTCTTTTTTTTTTTGAAGTGAAAATAGGTCGATGTGTACATGAATACCAAGTATGTGCAGTTACGCTTCATGCAGTGGGGGATTCTGCACTTTACCCAAAATTCTATTGCCGACTTTTCGTTATGGGCAATTCCCAAATTGTTAAATCCATAGGATATCAAAAAAGGATTTAAAATCAAAAAAGGGTTTAAAAATTAAACTAGTATGTCAATGGCGTCTTAAGAAATATAGAACTATATAAACTTACACAATCTGAAATCAACGCGTACGCTAGATTTGGCGCGCTGTTCAATGGGCATGTTTGCTAGATTTGGCACTTTTGCGCATACATTTTCGCTGCAATTTTTTACAGCCCTCAAAACCGAACAGTACCAAAACTAGTAATCGAATACCAAAGAGTATAGTATCCTTTTATGTTGACATCATGCTTGGCGATGATTACAGACTTCATCTGACTGGGCTCTGAAGTGCTGAGGAGGAGAAATTTAAGCGAAATTTCTGTCCATTAATTTAAAACAGATTTTGCAAACGATATTTATACACCAAAAGATTTCCTTTAGTGCTCTTTGAATTGAGAATAACTGATTTATTATTCAGATAAACCCAGGACGAGTGCCAGAGTTGGCATGGTCATACCAGATAGCAATGAAGGCAAAATCTTTAGAATTTAGAGAAACATTAAGCAACGAAATTAAGAGATTGCAAAATCTTTAGAATTTAGGAAAGCCACAGTGATGCAAAATTTAGAGGCAGCAAAACTTTTAGAACTTAGAGAAGTTCTAAAGAAGAAGAGAGAAGTTGGCAGAAGAATTTAGAACCTACAAACACTGTACCAGGCCACAAAACTGGATCAGATCCACCATTGGCCCTGGGTAAGCCTTAAGCATATGTGAGATTTATTTATTTGAGATTGAGATAAGACTTAAGCATGTGCAGGAAATTGGTGCAAGTATAATAAATAACTAAAATTATACAATTCAGGCTTAACTTCATCAGCATGTCATAGAAGCAAAATAAAATGCCAACAAAACAAGGTTTACTTGCACGAGGTTTTGAAACAAAAATGGTAGGCACATGGACTACATTTTGCACTATGTTTTCTATGCTCAGATAATTAACTTGCATCAGTTTTGTAATATTTTTAATGAATGTGTAATTAATTAAAAGTTGGTATGATATTTTGTGTCCTGTCCTGTATCTAGCTTTGTTTTCACTGTGTATATTTTTATGTTATTGTAAATATTTAAAATAAGAGCTGTGAGTAAAATGAAACTTAATCACTTGACATGTAATAGTAGTATTTGTAGTATGTCATATGTTTATTATACCAAAATAATTATGGACATCATAAACTTTCATTCATTTCATATTTCCTAGGAGCATATTGGAAAGGGTATAATAAGGCACTTATATGGTTGCTATATAACATATCCGCTTTAGTAATTTTTTTTTCATCGAAAGATGTTATTGTTGTAAAATATGGTTGTACAGTATAAAGTCTTCAATCTGGATGTCCATAATTCCGGAATGATCTATAATCCGGACCTCAAAGCTACAAACTTTCTGCGCATGCTTAAACGCATAATGCATTTACGCCTGCGCATATCTTTACGCATGCGCGTTTAATGTATAATGGACGGTATAAGCTAGGCTAAAATTATCTATTTATGTATTTCAGTTAATGTTGCAGATTGCGTTGTTCCGTAATCTTCTAATTGGATCCGGCTTGTTATTTTTTGTACTCTTAGAGCAATTTTATAAAAAGTAAACTTGAACTTTCGATTATGTCAAAAAGAGTTTCCAGTTCTGGAGCTGCCAAAGGATCTTCAAAGCGAAAGCATGTTTCGATGTCCATTAAACAAAAAGTGGAATTGCGCTGCAAAGAATGGATAAAGGCATGAAGAAAGTGACAGAGAGGTGATTTGTTTCTCTAACCATTCCGAAATCCGTTTATCAATTTCACGCTGCTCTGCGGTGGGGGGGGAACGTCGCGGCGTGCAATGAACTGGAAGTTGATCCGTCAGCACTATTCTCATCTTCAGGGCAGATGTTTTTATTTTATTCGGCTTATAATTCCTTACTAAATGTAGTGTTTCATCTCGATGTACTCCAATATGATTTAAATCAATTTTCTCGTCATTATAAATATCACGAATACATATCAAATAGTTTTCTGGTTGTAGTTTTCTAATTTCGACTATGCGTAATGTAAGCTTTACGCATGCGCGCGTTGAAAGAAATGTTTAATAAAGTAAACAAATAAACATTAAGTTTTTTTTTTTTTTGTAAATTTTGATTCCCTTTATATCATAATTGCTCTTTATTTCATATTTTTAATTGTATAATTTCTGCATACCATCTTACCAGATTTAAATTGAATATCTAAAATCCGGAAAAACCTTTAATCCGGAATCGCCAAAGTCCCGACGAGTCCGGATTAAAGACTTTGTACTGTATTTATAATGTATTATTTATGATAAAATAGAGGGCAGGCATGCCAGCAAGAGAAGTGTCACCTCACAAAATATTTATATTTTCGACTGTTGTGCTACTGATCTTAGGCACAACAGTTTTATACGATGAAATGTTCATAAATATCCAAAACCTGTGTAAACTATGTCTAATACTTTAACATTTGCGTAAATGCTTTAAAAAGTATAATATACTGCAAAGTTATAAAAATTGTTGTTGTATATCTATGAATAAAAAAAAAACTTTAACTAAATTTAAATAAATGTTGTAAACAGTAATTTTATTTGCATATCAGATAATATTTTTAAGCATATCGATTGTAATTATGTTTGTATGTTGGGTGAATTATTAGTTATTTCTTAGCAGTTGAATGCAAGCACAATCTGATAAAACTAATTTTTTTTAACAGGATCTCTCATTGCAATTGGAGGTCTTATTTTCATTGGTGTAACGTCTTTCATAGCAGCAATAGTAGTTAGCATATTGTCAGCTGTTGCTTCGGCATACTGGATAATTCAGAAAATTCGATATGTGTCAAAATCTGTAAGATGTCAGGTCATGAGTGCTCCTCAATCACCAGATAGTTCTGAAGTACCTGGAGATATAAACGATAATAAAAACTTATAATAAGAATATTAAATGCATTTATGAGGACTGCTGAATAGTTTGTCCATATGTACATTCCAGTTATATGATTAATTATTTTTGTATTCATGTTTTTACATTTTCTTAAACTTTTAATTACTAATTTTTATGAGCCAAAAAATTACATATGTAAAAAATAACTTATGTGATGCAAATAAAATACCAATGAAATGGAAGATGAATGTATTGAAATGTTTTCCAGGCTATTGTGTACAACAGTGTGCTGCCATTTTGGGTAAGGGAGTCAGCTACCACATGCTGGCCTGGGTTCGAATCCCAAAAAAGGGCACGGACATTTGTAAGTGTAAAGTGTCTCTGCAAAATAAGATCACTTAAAATATTGTTGAGTTGAAAGTTCTTTGGAAAGGAAAAAAGGGACAGGGATTCTGCTTCAAAACTGAAATGGAGCTTTTCTAAATCATGCATACTGTCACTTGTAAGTGCCTAAAGTTTAAGCATTTGATTTGTGGTATCCGGGTGCTGCAACTGGATACTTTGAGTAATTTCATGTGTGGTATGTTAAGTACATTTTACACTGGGTAAATTGTTTTCTGTTTTTACTTTTGACGATAGTGTGGCAGTGATATTGTCGATATGGTATAGCTATCTAGTATATCGGTGGAAAATTCTGCTTAATATTTGTAGCCAAAAAAAATTCGCTATTTATTTTCATGCAAACTATTCTCTACTATGCCCATTTGTTTGACTTTTGTAGCTTATCTATTTTGCTTGACTGTATTATTTTATTAGTACCGTAATTTCTTTTCATTTACAGATACGTAAAAAAATTAAAAACATTATTTTGATCCTCATCCGGCAGTTTTGTTGTTATTTCCGTCTGTAAGCGGGTCCCGCACCAGAACATGTGCAACCAGTGCGACGGCACCAAGCGCTGGAATTCGAGGGCGGCGTTTTTTTTTTTTTTTTTTTTTTTTTTTTTTAGAAAGGAACCGGGTGGCAAAATTTTGGTTTGAGAAGTCTGCACCGGACGGCAAAATGTGTAGCGCCGGTCCTGTTATGTATGCATAGGTACTTTAGTGCTACAAATGCTTAGCCAATAAACGTAATGATACTTCTTGTATGTTGCTTTTTGTTTTAACTGACGAGTAGTGATTTTTTATTATAAATACCAAATTTATTGTGTTGTTGCAACACTTAAACTCTCCTCCCGTTGTATTTTACAATAATTTTATAAAAAGTGTGTGTAATGTATCAAGTCCTTTCTGTATCATCATTCTCTTTCTATTTATCTATCATTTTCTTCTCTGACCTAGGGCCCACTAGCGGCCGAGCGGTAAAGACCCTGAACACTGGTAGTTTGGTCCGAGGTTCGAATCCCGCGAATGAGCTGGCTGCATGGGCGTTTTCGTGGTTTTCCTCATGTGTAACGTGTATGCCAGTTTCCCTTAGAAAGTCCTCCATGAAGGCATCCCTCCCTTTAGGCAGATAGCCCTCGTGTACTTTGCCATAATTGAATAATCCCTTCTCTGACCTAGTAGTAACCGAGTAAATAAATCCAGTGAACTCTAATAGTTCATCCTAACTTGCTTCCCGATGATAGAGCGAGCTGTCCACATGCGTGTAAAAAATTGTGTTCCACTCATGCGTGCTTTTATGGCGTTAATGCTTAGCAGCTCTAGTTAGCAAATGGAGCAAAAGTTTTGCGATTTCCGGAGTAGGCGGAGTAGATTTTTCTCGTTTCGCCCTCTAAAAGTGTCTAATAGTCTGTACATGTTTAAGGTAAATACAAGGTTGTTTATCGTAGATAGCATCCCTTTTAAGTCAGATAACACTTGAGTGCTTTTATCATAAGATAACCTAAGCCAACCTCTTTTTTTTTTTTTTTTTTCCTCCCAGTTGGCGAAGGTCCAAAATACAAGTATCCTTTATTTTACAAAAGTTTGCATTGTACCACTACACTTTTAAGAAGCTCTATATTAATATCTTTCTTTGATAGCATAAATAAACTCAAGGAAGGTTTGGGGGCTTTTAAGTAAGAATAATACAATATATTTGAACCTTTTTTTTAACACTATAAATGTAGAATTGACTAATTGTGGAAATTACCACTCTGCCTTTCCACTGTGCTCACTTGCAGTCTTCTCAGGATTTGATAGTGGTTTTATTTTGCCTTCGGGGAAGGGAACTTACGGAACTCTCGAGACGTTTTTCCTTATAAATTAAAGGTAGTTACTTCTCCGTTTTTTATTTCATCATTAAGCGGCAGAAACCCGTCGCATTTCATTTCTCTGTTGCGTTATGATTCGCTTATGAATGACGCAAAGTGTTTGATAACCATTAACCGAGTTGTTGCTGTTATAATTTAAGCTTAAATTCCACGGCTGATAAATACGGGATAATCATGACTATTAAAGAAACTTACTAAGGGCTAATATATATTTTTTTACGAATTGAATGTACTGTACTGATGCACGTTGTATTTTACGTGCTTTTATTTAGGTTGGTTTCTTTGGATGAAAACCTTGAAACCAATTTTTAACCCAGCTCTATACTGTTGTTTCTCTACTGTATTTTTGTAAAATTTGAGCTGTTTCTCCCTCCGGATTCTAGTTAAGCGTTTTTATCTAATGTTGTTTTTCTGACGATATCGGTATTAATGCCGGTAAAATAATTTACAGGCTACATAAAATTAAGCTAAGAAAAGGATATATTCTTATCTCCGCTATCTGAATTTTCTTTGAGCTATTTACAACTATTAATTATGATGCGTGTCTTGAATTTTTAAAATAAGTTGTCAATTTCTTCTTGTTTATCCGTGTTTATGATTTTAAAGAAATACAAATTAACCCAAAGCCCGCAACAGTACTCTATGAAATATTCAATTTTTATACATTTTATCTAATGGTCTAAATATAAAACACTGCGTTAAATTTACAATCCACAACCAATCCACATTGGAAAAAAAATGTGCCATTTTAGTGTTTTTTTATGCAGGTGCAGCCGTCTTTATGACAATTCAGCGTTAAAGGAGCAGGCTGGCAGCAAAATTCAGTTTTTCATAAAGATTTCTTTCTCCCCTGTTTAATTAACTAATCAGTAATGCAAACAAAAGGTGGAGACTTGCATAAGGTTGCTTTTTTTTCACGTTAGAAATTGATTTTCATTAGAGTACACTCACCTTTATTACGGTGGTACCCGTATAGAGATTTCTGTTTTACGAACAGCAACCGACCTACTTAAGACTGCGAGAATCTTTCCAGTAGGCACCTTTCTGAAACTTTTCCAAAGAGTGATGTGATTTATATTCTTTCCTTGTTTAAAAATAAAGTGGAACATTTTAGCCGACTTGTCTAAGCATCTGGGCACCCATTCTTATTTGAATTTAACAGGTGGTAAGAGATACTGCAAAAGAACATAAATGAAAAATGATTTTTCTTATATAATTATTGATTTTTCATATTTTCAACTTAGTGAACTCATTCTATAACGATACTCTGCCTGTCAAACATTAGAATTTAAAAATATATAAATTCGTAATTTAACTATTAAAAGAATGAAGATTTGTTAAATATTTAATTATAATTGCATATTTTAGGTTTTGCATATGTATATGATTTTGAAAGGCATGATGCAAACACTTGAGATGCTTTCATATTTTTTGTCAAACGCTAGTATAGAATAAAATTGTCTTTCACAGCTGCAAAAGACACCTCACAATATAGAAAAAAAAAGAAAAATATTTTCATAAAAGGAAAGTTGTTTTGCTGTAGAGAAGTAAAAATCTCATGTAAAAATTCCAGCGAAACAATATATGTTTCTCTTCTCTCGGCATTCATATAGGCAAAAAAGAGGAACAAGCATAGAAAATATTGATACTCACCAAAATTAGTAAAAGAAAATTAAAAATCAAGCAGATTTTTTTTAAGGGAGTGAAAAGCAAAAGCCCGTAATACGTAATGCTCTTCAGGAATCCGATAACCGAATTTAGCTGAGAAGTAAACAAATGGCAATGTCCATATGTCTTACTAATTTGTCTCTTCAATAAATCCAGGATACAAGATCTTCCTATAAAAATATGACAGCTCGTTCCAAAAGCATAAGATTGCGACTATCTTTCGGCTATGATTTTTTTCACCCAAGAATGCAATTTAACTACACACTCAAGCATTCTACATTATATTCTATAATCATGCTCAAGCATTTATGTAAACACTAAATAGGTCATTTAATCGGATTTGCCTACACTAAGGGCCCACCAGCGGCCTAGCGGTAAAGACGCTGAACACTGGTAGTTCGGTCCGAGGTTCGAATTCCGCAAACGGGCTGGCTGCATGGGCGTTTTCGTGGTTTCCCCATGTGTAACGTGTATACGAGCCAGTTTCCCTTAGAAAGTCCTCCACGAAGGAATCCCTTCCTTTAGGCAGATAGCCCTCGTGTGCTTTGCCATAATTAAATAATCCAGTCCCTACACTAAGGAATGTCTGCTACTAAATAGGCAATGTTCTTCACCACTTTGTTAAGTCCTTTCGATTCTACTACCAGCACAGTATTATCTACACTCTTTTGCAAAAAACTCGAAGCACCAAGAAGGACTTTTGCAATTGTGACGAAATTTGGTATGCAAAAATACCTTGATTGAACATGCAAATGATCAAAGTTTCAAGGCAAATTAACAGAAATTATGATCATAGTGCGCAGTTTGCAAAGTATAAAACCAGTAACAGAAGCGTTTTTTTTTTTTTTTTTTTTTTTTTTTTTTTTTTTTTTTTTTTTTTTTTGTTGCTGCTATTGTAATTGCGTAAAACAGCAACTAAAGATGCCATTACGACGATATCCAAAACCTTTACAGACAACTAAACGACTTCGAACGTGGTCGCATTGTAGGGTTGCGTGAAGCTGGGTGGTCATAGCAAGCAATAGGCTGCCACTTGCAGCATACAGACTCAGCTGTGCAAAGATGGTGGCAGCAATGGTTGCTACAAGGAAATTGCCGATGAAATGGAGGTTCTGGAAGGCCAAAGAGCACAAATGCGAGGTAAGATAGAATGATTGTTCGCCATGCCCGAATTGCCCCAACGGTATCATTGTCGACTATTCAATGCACAGCAGCCACGTCTATACCTCCCATGGTACCATGCACCATCTCAGGGCGCTTGTCTGAGACGGTGTTACGTTCACAGAAGCCTTTAAGACGTTTGCCTTTGACCCCACAACATTGGCGGAGTCGTCTGGAGTGGTGTCGCAGCCGATCATTATGGCTGCCATCAGACTGTCATCGTATAGTGTTCAGTGATGAATCCCGTTTCACTCTTGAAGCAGATGACCACCATGTTCGTGTCTGGAGAGGACGGGGCCAGCGATCCCAATCAGCCTTTGTTTTACAAAGGCATACAACCGTAAACCCTGGTGTGATGGTGTGGGGAACTCTTTCTTATGACAGAAAGTCATCCTCTACATCTTTAACAGCTCAACAATATGTTTATACCTTCCTTCGACCGGTTGCATTACCTGATAGTTCGACCAACTACTAATTTGAACACTCAATGGATGATTGTGAGCCATGAGCAGGTACTATGACCTTGATTTTTTAATCATTTTATTATCTCTGTATGAACTATACACATATTCAGTTTAATCAAAAACAACCACTTCCTTCATGGTGCTCCGATATTTTTGCAAAAGAGTTTATAAATAATTAACAACTTGACAGAAACTTTTAATATATAAGACAGGTATGTATGAAAAATTGCACCTGATCATGCAGCTGATATTTCTAATTGTCTTAGGTTGAGTAAAACCAAAATTAAAATATTTGCAGCCTTACTTTAAAACAGGAGTCTCCAAACTATGT